GTAACGCAGAGAGAAAGTTTGTCTACTTCTTTCGCAGGAGTTGTGACGTCAAAACGCTGAGCTCTAATTGGCCCTGATTGAAGAATAGTGGGTAGACCCTGCGAGGTCTCCCCACTATCCTTCAATCAGAGCCCCTCTATCCTTCAATCCCTGCAAAAGAAGCAGACGGACATGCTCTCCGCATAGTCCTGCACACTCTGTGCAATGATCTTTTCACGTCTGCTGTTCTTTCCCCTGAACTATAACAACGCCGCTGTGCGAAAACTTAAGCCATCATTTTTCTATTTTCCGGCGATAGTGCACACTATCTTTGCGGTGACCACGAGGCTAGTCGAACATTTGCATTCGAGTGAAACTAATGACGAGTTAACAAACTGGCGCCCTCTATTGGGTAGCCCCGGAGCATTTCCGATCAGTGTGTAACTGTAGATTGAAGGTTTTGCAGTATGTGCAAGATCAAATCTACACACTACCGTAATATCCCGAGAGATAGCCCGCCTAAAATCGAAAGCAAATCGGGTGAAAATAAGGAGTAAGCTAACCTTCGGGTGCCATAAAAAAAAGATGAAAAAATGCTAGTTTTAGATTTTGTGACCTACGAAACTTGCGATTGCAGGGAGGGGTGATGAACCAAGTACGACTGTTCTTCCCAGTCAGCAATGGTCGCTTGTCTCCCATTTGCTAAGTAACCCCGTTTCTGCCGAGGTCATCATTGGCCAGGGCCCTGCAATTGCTAGAAGTGGGCTATCTCTTGGTATTTTTGGAAAAATAGCAAGTCATACCAAAAATATGGGCGAGTTGTCTATTGAGGGGGATTTATGGCAGCTATAAATAATTATAATGTGTAATTTTCTCACAATTACTGCGAGCCCACGGTGAGAGAATGGTGCATAAAAAAAGTAGGAAATATAATATTTGCGGATGGGAAGTATTCCAGGGCTACCTTATAAGTAGGGTACGGAGTTTTCGGTTTAAACCAATAAAAGCCAAGAAAATTATGCCGAATTAATTTTTGAAAATTCGGTTTTAACCGAAAAAGGTCAGTTTTTAGGTTAGGCATTTTCGATTTAAATCGATAAAAGTATGTCGAATCCATTTTCTAAAATTCATTTTTAACCGGAAAAGGTCACTTTAACCTTCCAGTCGTATTCGCGACCCAACTAACTACAGGTGGCGCCACTCATTTTCCAAGATGGCGGGTTTAGTGAGGGTCAGAGATGCGTGCCGCTGTTGAGCCCGTCTAGTGTGCTGGCTTCACTGAGCGACATAAATTATTTCTGGTAATACGAGGAAGCTAATATCTTATGAGTGTAGATCACCTCTTTAACCCGAAAACAAGAACGGTGTTTAGCGTATTAATTATGGAAGGATGCACATTTTAATTTTGGAGCGAAACCGAAACTTACCTCTATTTTGGATTTAATTTCTCGACAGATGTTTTCATTTCGGATTTTTTCATGACTCAAGATGTGTCTCACATCGTAATTATTTACTTAGAAAAGTTGTTCGCGGAAAATTTATTTTGTGACATACTGTTCGATCCAGGCTGATATTCGTCGTTGTTGAAAAAATCAGTGCTGATATCTGTGCGTCCTTGCTGCCTTTTTCTCGCTCAGATAATTGTCATGGGAAATAAGGACAATTATCCCAGCACAAGAATAAGAGAATAATTCCAATTTTTACAATATGTCCACAAAACGCATAACCTAATAAACGCTGCTCTCACTGCAACAACCCAAGACAAAATCCGAGTTGGACAGCTGAAGTGTGTGCGTGTGCTTTTATAGCACCACGTGACGCGTAGGACTTCATATTACATCCAGCGTTTAACTGTTTGTCTATCTTGATAACTATGTAAGAGTTTTTCATATGCTGAAAAGAAAACAGAATTATACCTTTCTGGAAAGACTATTATGGTTAAATAGAGTATTCTCGTGATCTTGGCGTTAATTAGAGACATACATTGCCGCGATTTGTATTATAATAATAATATTAAAATTTGCATATTTGAATAAGTAATTATTCAAGCTCTAATATAATTTGTTGCTTATGATATAATTTTAAATGCGCGAAGAAATATGACAATGAAAACTGTGCTAATTATCATCACTGGTTCCAATTGCTGCATTTTATTTACAAATAAAATAAAAATAGTCTAAAATCAATGAAAACATTCTAGCTAATGTGAAAATTCCATGTAAAATTCTATTAATTGAGGGTAAAGTATATTGTGCTATCAAAGTCGTGACTTTTGACAATCGGCGAAACGTCCAAGGTCGCCGCCAATATACTTCCAGACCAAATGCCCAAAAGTTAAAAAAAAAGCCTTTTTCAATTACTAGTTTTTTCATAACATTTATTTACTTTTGTATTTGCTCGCCGTCGTTTTGCCAATCTCAGCTTTTCCAGTTCGAAGGAACGCCTACCTGCTTGCATATCTGCTCACTGCAGCACGTTTTGTTGGCGTTGGAAGCCGGTGAAACAGTAGTGAGTTTTAATATTGCATATACGAGCGAACTCAAGCCCTGTGTGTTTGCGTTAGCTTTGCGGGTTCCACACTGCGTGTGCGCGGAGCCCGAAATTGCGGTCTTGGATGGCGCTTGGCGATGAGGCGCACGCACCACGTGGGGCACGCAACTTTAACGCAAACGCACACCGCTTGCGTTTGCTTCTATGCGCAGTACTAAAACTCTCCAGTAAGGCACAATCCCATACCGGCTGCAGCACTACGTTGGGACAGTGAAGAGTGTTGTTCGCATCCGGAAACGACATTTCGCGAGCGATGGTCGCGAGCAGTTCCGCCATGCCCGCTGAGCAGGAGAATCGGGGGGACCCTCACTAGAGCGCTTCCCGTTTCCGCCGCGGGAGGGCGAGCGTCGAGCTGGAGACGCGAATACCGCAGAGCCGTGGCGAAAAAGTGGAACGACGGTGTCTATCGAAATGTGTCCGAATGTACGGAATACATGGGTGTTATCACAACGTTTTGGTTTAATGTGCGCATCATCGATCGGAACGTGAAGTCCGAAATGCCCCACGACTTCGCCATGTACGAGTGTGTTTTCAAACTCGTTGTAAAGAAGACTGACTTGATGCAAGCTCTGCATGTTGTGTTGTGCTTCAAAATGTCGCACCGTGTCTTTTTTGGTAGTCACAATTGGTTGATTGGCCGATTTTGGCTCAGGCAGCGCTTCATCTCCTGAGCCTGCCTGTGTCCAGTGTTAGCGTTGAAAGGACATTCTCGGAGCTCATGGTCATATTAACAGGAAAGAAAGAGTGCAGATCAACGAGGAGAACCTGGAAAAGTACATGTGTGTGTTTACTGTAATAAGATCACAAAATCCTGATATACAAAAGGTGAAGTTTCATGTTTTTTGGGCATAGGCTTTATATCTGACTTGTTTGTACTTCTGTGTATTTTTCTTGATTCTTTTATAGTTCCACACATTTGCCAAATAAAGTGTCTTATTTCTTTTTCAATGTACCTATGCCATTATTCTTTGAGTGATCACAAGTATCGTAGCTACAAGGATCATCTGATCCGGTGTCCGTTGGTGTTTATTTTATGTTCACCGAAAAAAGCCGATAAACTTTTGTGGGCATAAATATACACCAACTCATGTTTACAAACAAACTGGAGCGCCCCTAGCGAACGCCACCGGCGCCGCGCATGTGCGATGGGTGTGTGGGCAAGAAGCTCGCCGTCGCCCATAAACAAACTATTGAAATGCGATGTTGTCGGCGTCGGTGTGAGTCCCCCTGCCCTTTTTCACATTCGAATTGTTGATTCTACGTCTTCCTGGCGATGTCTGACTATCTTGAGCGGCGTCAGCGAAATTACCGAGGCTTGTTACACCGCAAAACTTCGCGTGAATAATGTGACATGTGACGATTCATTCCGCTTGGACGCCGCAGTATGTACGCTAAAGCCCGATTTGCATGATGAGATTTTGCTCGCAATTTTCAGTCGCAACGCGGCTCGGGCTGAAGAAGCGTGAACCGTAGCTGAGATGGTCAACGTCGATACTGAAAATTGCAAGCAGAATCGGACCAAGTGAATTAGGCATAACAAGTCGGTGATGGTCACTGATAACAATGATCAACATCTCCTTGTATCTACTGTTTACATCGAGCCTGCTTACCAACCTTCAAATTTAAGTCTTTTGTGGCCTGCACTTCTTATCGCAAGTACCGGGCCAACATTTGGTCTACGGGCCGGCGTCGTCTAATAGAGCAGACGACAAGCAGAAACGTTTGAAAGAGCAGACGACAGTTCAAACGATCAGCCGGCCATTTGAACTTGAAGACGCACTAAACGTAGCCTGCACGTGGTCCGCACAACTTGGCGGTTTTCTGGTGTTAATGTTGGAACAAAACAAATAAAGCTGATGACCACAAGTATCCATGAATTCAACCCAAAGCGCTTCCCGCTTAAGCAATCGTTGTCCGACGGTGTCTGCTTTTCTCTTTTCACGGCACATATCCAGATTCTCGGACGAACCGAGCACGTGAAAACTGACCTTCAAACCTTTCTTGACTCTCTTGGTACGGCCCCAGTCCCAGCATTTTGACGAGAAGGCAGGTTTTTGTCTGGTTCCTTTCAAATCAACGCAGGAATACATGTCTGGCATGGGGACTTCTGCCCACAGCCCCAGACCGGAAGTGCAACCGACGCGCCACCACCGCGCCACCACCGCGCCGTGACGTCACAGAGTTGAGTTTGTGTATATGCCGAAAAAAACCGAAAATTGAATTTTAAAATAAACGCCGAAAAAAGTATGCCGAATTTTAAAAAAATATAAACCGAAAACGCGGAATCCTACTTATAAGATGGCACAAGTATATTCTCTTGCTGCAAGCAAGCACAATGCACTAGATTGCGCTCAAACAAAAATGCGTGAACCAGCCCTTTTATGGGTAGCGGTTGCGGCGGTTCCCACAAAACCGGGCACGTGGCTGCAAGGCTCTGAGATTCTAAGGATCCTTTCTTTCTGTTTCTGCAGTTGGCCAAGAAGGCTTCCAAGGGCAGTGCCCCCAGCGTGGTGTGGCTTAGGCTAAGCGGCCTCAGGCACATTGTGGACCGCTACACGGACGAGTCGTACCAGGCGTCGCACGCTCTCCGACTCATCCGCGAGCTCGTCGAAAGGGTGAGTGCGTCCTTGCGGCTTGTGGTACTGCGAACGACCGTTTGGCAGCTCGAACCGTATTTCTGGGTTTTGCTCAAAAGCGTTGTCGACGGACCTCTTCTGATACCCAGTTCGTTTATACGTATTGCCCTGACTCGAAAAGTGTATCAAATGAAAATGTGGAACAGGTGGGGATTCTCATGGTCGCAACTGCAAGTCTACGACAGAATGGGACAGGAAGTGCAGAATGTAACATACGATGGAGAGCCACAAATATGCTGCTTTCAATTTACGAAGCAGACTATACTTGCTCCGGAGAAAGCGGTGCTCAAGTTACATAATTGCTGCATTCACTCAAATCTAAGTGAACTCGAATCTATTACGAGCCCCTAAGTACCAACCATTAATACACGTTTGCAAGTACAACCTTGGGGTCACTGCCATCATCATAATGTGTCATCATCCAATTTGGACATTTTGTTAAGGCGTTGAATCGAATTACGGCTGTGCCCAAGCGCATCCCAACTCAGCAAGATGGCAGCGCTTTCGGGGCATACTTGCGAACGTGTATACTGGAAAACAAAAATATTTTTTTCTTTTAAGTTTCTGGATTTTTTTGGGTCAGCACAGGTCGGGGAGGAGATGTTATGTGGTGGGACCCGTTTGAGTTCAAAGTGGAGCATTGGCTGGACTGACATTTTTCTGATAACGGTCTCTTTTGCGGTGAACCTCGTTGCTGAGTCGGCGACAGTTCCTGAGTGGCATCTTGAGATTCAAAAGTGAAGCAAAATAAAGCATGAAGTCAGTTGTCCTCATCGATGAAAGAGGCATGACACCTTCAATACAGGTATGGCGGCAGGAGAGCTATACTTGCGAGAACACCGTAAAAAATATTCGGCACAAAATCACTCCCAATCATTCGGGAGAAAGTGGGAAACTGCTCGTTTTTGGCTAAACCTATTGCAGTTTCTTAATTCTTCTTATGGTCTTCATCTTTATCACCTAAATTGGAATCATATTCACAAATGTAGGTGGCATTCATAACACCATTGAAACCATTATCGCTTCCCACCTGTGTGACGTTTTTTTACTGTGGCTCTCATATGCACTTGTGTCAATCGTGGCTTAGAATGCCTTCTCTAGAGCGGAGCGGCCATGTATGACCGGTATAAATATGAGGCTACGGGATACCGGTTCTGCCGTGTTTCTTTGTGAACAATAAGGAAAACTCCTTTAGGAGTCTCTGAAGTAGAGCATACACGGGCCTACTTTTTGAGGCCCGGCTCGGGCCCATTCACTTTTAGTCTCACCTGACCCGGTCCGATGGGATGCCTTGCTCACTTGACCCGGACCCGGCCCGGGCGGTTTACTACTTTGCATGAAAGACGCTGTTGTACCGCAGTCACGTGGTGAATATTTGAAAACTTGCACAAATATAAAAGACATAGCTTATCTTTGGCAGCCAAAGGGTGTTCTTTTTTTTCTTCAAGAGTTTGAAAAGGAAAGGGAAAGACAATTATACTGTCCCCTGTAATCAGATTGCCCTCGTTTTCTTGCCGGCTGGCAGCTGTCACACCATGCTATACTTCGTTCCAGCTTCCGTCAGAGCGCAGCCAAAGGCTGAGGGACGGTTCACAACTTCGAGAAGAGCATTCCTACGCACCACAAAGTAGTCCGCAAAAGTAATATTTTTAAAATAGCTGTTTTGTGCGTAAACATTACACCACATTCCAGATGTGTACTGCTGAGAATGATTTGCAAAGAAAGGAATTAAATATCTAAAGTTTATGTTTTTATTAATATATGTAAATGCATGTGGTTTGGTGAAAACGCATACATCCGCTGGCAACACGGCTGCAGAGCTCTGTTCTTTTGTGTGATTTCGTTCCCATAATGGCCGAATCATGTGCTTCGCTGCTTTCCTCACAGAGTCGCTTCAGAACGTCCTTTCGCTAAGGCGCGTCTGGGCGTCAGGCGCGAGCGGTCGCGATGAATGTCTACTTTTAAATTTGGCAGGAGACTCTGACCGCGTCGTACCGCGAATGTGTTGTAAACAAGAAAAGCGTCCGGGCCACTACAATTCACAGATTCGCAACGAAATTAGGGCACCCCTTTACCTACCGACCACAGTGAACGCCGAGAAACTGGTGGAAAGGACTGCGCCTCGAGCCCTGGTATATGCAGACAATACAAGGAAACATCAACAGCCGGGCCATCGGGCACCTTGCAATGTGTACTTACATCTCGAAACTATGCCGAAATGCCAGACAGGTGGAAAGCTCAGACACAGACGCCAGCGGCCAGCCTACTTACTGGCATCCCCTGTGGCTAAATTTCAGAATGTAAAAGGGCACTTTTTAAACCTGTAGCAGACGATACCGTTGATACACCCATAGCAGATGAAATACTCGGTGAGCGCGGGCAGCGCGGACGACCGGCGGCGCAGTGGAGTGATACAAAAGTGCAGGCAAGATCGCGTGACCAATTGTCGGCATGTGATTGGCTCCGGCCACACGTAGCTTTGGCTGCGCTGGGACGGAAGCTGAAACAAAGTAGTATAATAGAATCTCTAGGATCCTCTGCATCTTCTTGTGGGCTTTCTTAGTCCAAGACAACTTTCTTTATTTCTAATATTTTTTTCCAGTGGAGTGGTAGCGATTTTGCACTTCGGCCTTTTTGTTTCTTTCAAATCTAAACGATCACTGCATTAGCATTTTCTTCTCTACATTTTAGAAAGTGCACTACATCATTCCCTGAGCCTGGCTCGGGCCCGGAAACAATGCGTGCTACCTGGCCAAGGCCTGGCCTGGGCTTTCGGGTTGGCCTGGCCCCATGCAGAGCTCTACTCTGAAGTCATTGCTTTTGTTGGTTCGTAATGGCAGGTTCACACAACAGACCGAATTGTGATTTTGACCCGTGCATCGTGCATCACATCATCACTACGCATCAATTTCTGTTTCGTCGTCCGCCTTGTCTGTGGACGAAAAAACTGGAAAAATAGTCTTCACACCTTTTCACTTGCAAATGTTTGGTAGGTGATCTTAAATTATTTGACCTGAAAAGCATTTAGTCTGGTAACAACAAAAAGCATAGCAAATCAAAGGTGGCAGATCACTGAGTTTTGTCGCATGCGTGAAAGAAACTGCAGGAACTGCTCCTGTTCATGTGCCGTGGGTTCCGGTACTCCTCCTGATCCATGTCAAGGAGCTTCTTTCAAAGCTCGTCTAGCTTGCTGCAAAAATGTCTACACATCCATGGCACACTTCAGCCTACGTAGCATTTTGTGCCACAAAGCCTCCAATCATTGTCATTTCCTGCACATCCATGCTGCCTTTCATCTAGCACCAGGAACTTTTTGGAGCACACAATTCTTTTTCGCTGTAATGCATTTATGCCATGGCCATCGATGCCGAACTTTGATTTCGCAACCTTTATTATGACAACTACAGCTGGATGACAGTGGCACAGTCCACTGTTGGTGTTTTGCGGGCCTGTGGGGTCGCGTATTGGTTCAATTTGTCCTCGTTTTCGTCTGCTCTTCTCCTCATTTTCGTCTGAAATGTTCTTGGAAGATGGATGATCCACAGTCATGTCATTGTATGATCCAACCCTCCGGAGATCATTCCCTCATATGAATCGACCATGATAGCATATTTTGGCAAGGAATCGCTCATTGCATATGGGATCATCAAATGCGGCAGCCTAACATCTGAGTTCACGATTTTCTTGTCTGGTCAGTGTAATCATTTCCACGACCTTATTAGGGAAGAAGCGAAAGACCTTATTAGGGAAGTAAAAAATAATCTTTTCACCAAAACTGAAATCTCATCCCAAAAGCAGTGCTATTCATGAGACTGTAGGCAGACGAAATGCTGGCAACATCTTTTTCTTATTGACCGCGATTTGTAACATTACTGCTCTAACAACAGGCATTTGTGGTTCTTATACAAGTTGTAAGTGCACACCACTTTTACAGCGATCAGTTAATGAAGTAACCCCTAATAGTGTAAAACTCACACTATCGATTAGTGCTTTTACTGCTATTGTGGGCACTGGGTGTGTGAAGAGCAGTATGAAGGGTCACATACAAATTATTCATTTCATTATTTGCACTAGCCCCGATTGGAGGCTGGCCTTTGCTGGGAGTTTGCAGAAGAAAATGGCACCTGCTGCTTGTCCTTCCTCTTCGTCTGGTCGTTGTCAAGTTTATATGAGGCTCAATTTTACCAGTCTTGCCAAGAAGGAGCGGCGCCGCCTGACTACTCTGGCGTGACGTAGGACCTGGGATCACATGACCGCTTCAGCGCCTCATTGGTAGCATGTAGATTGAGGTGTTTCGCCCATAATTCACGTTTAATTTGCTATTTCGAACGAGAGTTTAGGGTTGATTTTGACCTAATCTTTTCGTCGTGCTGCTTGTGAAATTTAAACTCGAGCCATGTGTCAACAGTGGCGTCTCAGCCTGCGGAACTGGACCCAGCGACACAGCTTCGTGCTATTGTACTGACCTGACCACGACCAAGTCGGTTGTGGTTGTGGCTCCAAGTTTTCTTTTTAATGCAAAAGCATTAACTGTCTCATTGAGCGAGTCGACGTCATCAGCTTTGAAACCGTGCAAAAGGCACCTTAATGAAATCACATGCAAGGCTAGCCAACGGCACCTTTTACACTTCGGTCCCATTGCCTGGCGCGCATCGACGAGGCTCCCATTGGCCGCTGCACGTCAGTTTGTGTGGTGTCATCCTGACTGTGTTATCAGTCATAACCGCTTTCGCTCTTCTCTTATCGGTTGTACTGCGCGTGGCAATATATGCGGCGCATGGAATGAACCAAGGGGTTCGTTCTGCTGGGAACTACGTTGCTGTCTGTTCCCTCCTCGCGCCACAGGGCACATGACAGTTTGAACGATCGCTCGCCCGATGGCGCTGTGTGTCCGCAAGGCAGTGGCTCCACCGTTCCATGTCCGAGGTCAGCGCGTTGTACGCCGCAGATTAAAGAAGGGAGTGAAGAGTGGCGTGCATGCTTTGAAGAGCGGCATGCATAAGAAATGCTTAGGTGTACCTCGAGCCTTTTTTTTTTCCAGCCCGTCGTAAAGAAACGGAGCAAGCAAAAACCAACCGCGAGGACGGTCGAGCGCGCATCGAAATTGGCATTCCAATTGCCGGTTTTTTCACAGTTTGCTGGCTTACGACTTACTCGCTTACACATGCAAGCACAGCATCATCGTGGCATTGCCTTCTGCGGTAACTTTTCAGGCTTGATACTGACGCGACATTTGGAAAAAGAAGTGTTGGTCCGACATTGCGTGACCGGCATAGCTGCCGACACATGTTCTAGCTCGATCCGTGTTATGTTTGCTTTAATCCGAGGTGACATTGTCACCTCGGATTAAAGCAAAAATACCCGGAAAACAAAAAAGTGTGCATATTATGTGATGCGAGGGTAATCCATGCTGCGTTTATTTGAGCCATACGTCAAAGAAAACGGCAAATAGAATCGACGAGAGTGTCCGCCACCGCCATGCAACACTACGAAAATGACGAGGGGACGAAGAAGAGGTAAGACTGGCCTTCTGATCGAAAAATCTAGGTCAAGGTTCGAGCTATTCGTACGAAAAACGTGCACTTAAACTATGAAAGGGGTCGTGCAAACATAGTTTATAACGAGGCAGCTGGTCTTGTTACACTAATCAAGGCCAGCAAGTGATGAGCGCCTTGCTAGGCGTTCCCTGTTAAGTATAGATGCTCAAGTCGGCGGGACCGTTGTCATTGTTTCCGAAATCCGCGGATCGAGTGGTCGTCAGCGAGCATTGTAATTTCGAGTATGTATTTCTTTTCTTTTGCTGCTTGGTGTCAGGACAAGCACGAAGAGCACGTAGAAGTACGCTTGTTGGTCTCCACAGCGAAGCATCCGAGCGAAGTTGGTGACCATCGTAGGATTCTGTCGTATCCTAAGCAGAATTTTCAATCATTTTTAGGTTTCGTCGTAAGCACGTTTTTGCGTAATAGCAAAAGCAAAATATGCTTAGTAAACAGTTTCCGCTGCTACGCGTTATATCGCACAACTGAAGCGAACTAAAGTTGAGGAGATACTTGGACCTGTTATGGTATCCTTGTCTGTATGTCACAACCGAGTGATCGCGGTGCTCTGATCGGTCCCACTCAATGCTAATGCCAGCGGCAGTGTCCCCATGTTGTCGGTGATTATCATGACTAGCGGGCGCTCCGGGGTCAATGCCTTCGGCGGAGCTTGTTTTCTCCAGACCTGAGGACAGTTGCACAGCACATTAGGGCAACCACAATGGAAGTGACCAGGGCAGTAGCCGAAGCAACGCACCGAGCCGCTGCAGTTGGCACTGTGTGTGACGAGAGTTTGTCTGCATGGCCCTCTTTCATAGAGAATTGCAATCCAAAAAGGGATCTGGTTCTTTCATTTGTTTCCTACGCCGTGCACTTCTGTACTGGAGGTATAGGCAATTGCTTTTTTGTCGCACCGTAGTGCAACCCAAGAAGTTTTTTATGCATTTCTTCGTTGCACCGCTTCGAGGCAAGGTGTATCGTTGGCGGGTTCGAATCCTGGCTGAGGGGCCCACAGTCTGATGGAGGCTTTTTGCAGAGAGAGCACCATGTAAACGAGATTTTCGTTGCACTTCGAAAGACTTCAGAGTGGTCAAAATGAATCCTTAGTCTTTCTCTGGGGCGTGCCAGATGCCTTTTGTTGGTTTGGCACTTGAATCCCCAAGTTTTATTGATTCTCCCATCGTGCCATCCTAGCCCGACTATGCCGATGCCAAGGGAGAGCATATCTGTTTTGCCTGGAATGTTCGTAAGAAGGGTGGATGTGCAGACTAATTATTTCTGCTGGCTTAGTGGCTTAGAATCTGACTGCTCTTGTTTTGAACGAGATTGAACTGTAGCGTTGTGCACTTTATGAGCAAGTTGCATTATCTCTCTGTTGTGCTAAACTTATCGCATACGTCCCAATTTTTGCAAACCAAGTGAATCTTGCATGGTTGCTTTATTTCTCCCCAGACCAAAAAAATGCTGAAGGAGAACTATGGCCAGAAGGCACTGCTGCTGGTCGTCACGCAAAACGACAGGTCATTGGGGCTTGTCAGGAGGTCGAGGTCCCTCTTGGCCGAGCCAGAACCCGCAAAGGTATGTGACTTTTGACTTTAAAAAAACTGCTGCTTCTTCTCTGTTTAGACTGCATAATATATAATGTGGCCTATAATTCTCGAGCCATCTGACCCACTCTGTCATTTTGGCAGTGGGACACGGGCCGTCACCCAAGTGCTTGTTGAGGCATTGATTGTCATGAGCCCAAAGTGAGGGCTCTTGCAGTGCTTGTGTCCGATCTATAAGCAGCATTCGACTATTGTCACCCAAGGGGAAATCCCAATGACTATGTCAACACTGTAATAACCATGATTATGTCAAGTTTTACAAAGAAGAGACTGGAAAAAAAAAGGTCTTCTTTTATCCCTGAAATTGCACATGACAAAGAAGCTTATTGATCAGTGGCATTGGGTACCAGCATACTATTGTCACACTAGAAATGCCAATAGGGCGGTTTCATTTGAAATCAAATACGCTTGTCAGGGTGGATATTTTTAATTTGCCGAAAAAATTTATACATTATAGCCCCATTTCTGCAATGAAGAAAAACACTAAAATTTTGTTAGAAAAATTATTTTTCTCCACAACATCTATAAAGTGAAGCAAGGTAAAATGCTAGGTTTAAGCTGCTTGATTTTTGTACCCAGTTCTGTCGGTTTTTATAGATAGGTAAAAACAAAAAAACCTTTGAAACCTTTGAAAACGGCCTGTGACCACAAAGAAGAGAGTGAGCGCGACTCAAACTTGCCAGTTCTCAATCGGCGGTTTTTGGGCGGAAAGAAACCGAATTTCGAGCTGCAAATTGTGTTCCGGGTAGTTGGGCTCTCACATGTCACGTACAACTGAAAACCTCGGCGAGCATGAATACCCTGTCAGTGTCCCTTTAATGGGCGAACTTGTGCCCAAAACAAAGGGTTAAAAGAACAGGTGTCGTAAGCGAGCGATGATGCTGGTGAAGAGGCGGAATCCGGCGCTAGCGTAAGACTGACTGCGGCTTGCCACACGGAGCCCCTTTTGTACATGCATGGGCTTCTGGAACAATCGGCATAAAAGGTTCGGCGCGTAGAACATTCGGACCTCGAATCAGCAACACGGTTCTTGAATTTACCAGAACATCACACTACAGAGTCAACAAAAATGTGTACCCGCGGCCAGGCATCAAACCCTTACTTTTTGCATGGAAGGCAAGCGCAATAGCAGTCACGCCACAAGCGCGTTTTCTACATGGTTAGCTGCGTGCGCGGCAATATCGCAAAACCATGTATGTCAAAGAAATTTTATCGCTTATATAAAAACACATAGAAAACTTTTAATATAAAAAAAAAACTTATATTTTTAAAATGCATTGAATTCTGTATTTTTAGCATTTTTTCTCAAGTGTGCAGTGTTTCTTCTACAGGGTGTTTCATGAAAGGTGGACAAATTCAATATTGCGAAAACTATGCGTCGCAAAGGTTTGTGTCAGTTTGGTCCTGGGCCAGGGGCCTATTTAGGAAAATTATTAAAGTCCGGGATAATTAGATTGTTAATTATTTTTGCGTACTAATTAACTTTTTTATTATCGTGTTTAAGGGCATGGTTTAAATTAGAAAATTGCTCAGCATTATCGAAAAATCCTAAATCAACAAATTGCAGAACGATAGAAGGCACGTGCAGCATTTTCTGGCTTTCTGAAAAACCGCACAAATTCCACGGGTTTCTAAGTTTCGGTTTTCAATTGGAGCGCATCTCGGCCCCGACGGCACTGCTCCCCGTGGAGAAATAGTGCAGCCAGCCTCTGCTGCGATGGGCGAGGACAGCGCTGCAGAGGTTGGTTGCACTATTTCTCCACGGGGAGCGGTGCCGTCGGGGCCGAGATGCGCTCCGATTGCAAACCGAAACTTAGAAACCCGTAGAATTTGTGCGGTTTTTCAGAAAGCCGTAAAATGTTTCGCGTGCCTTCTATCGTTCTGCAATTCGTTGATTTTGTGTTTTTCCATGATGCTGAGCAATTTTCTAATTTAAACCATGCCCTTAAACACGATAATGAAAAAGTTAATTACGCAAAAATAATTAACAATCTTATCCCGCACTTTAATAATTTTCCTAAAGAGGCCCCTGGCCCGGGACCAAATTGACACAAGCCTTTTTTTTTTTTTGTTGCGATGCGTAGTTTTCGCAATATCGAATTTGTCCACCTTTCGTGAAACACCCTGCATATAATCTATATATAAATTAGCAATATTATAATGTTTAAATTGGCTTCATACAAGCTTTCATTTGATATTTTTCTTGTGCCTTCAATAATTATACATTGAAAACTGGCTTCATTCAAACTTGAGATATTATTGTGAAAGGTACAAGATTCAAGAATTTTTATTCAATAGAATAAAGTAAAAAAGCACTCTTTTAGAGAACTTTAACCCTTTTATACGAAGTCTTACAGCTGTAAAGAAAGTGATAATTGTTGTAAAAAAAATAATCTAGAAGTTTCAAGACTCCAAATGGTGTCATTTGTGAAAACTGCAACAATTACAATACATACCTTCTGCCTTTTCAAAGTCCAAAACTCGAGAACAAAAAATGCTCTGAAGTTGTAATTTGCAGTTTTGTTCTAGTCATAGATTGTCCACCAACATATATTTTATAAAACATTTTTTGAGGATGAATAACTTTTTTTTGCATGATTTGAGATGAAATTGCCCATATATAATATTTTGTATCCTTCATCTTGTCCACATTCTTCAATTTGTCATGTTCTTTTCGTCCCAGAGAGTGCATGGATTCAATCCTAACGGTTGTAAAAACCAGATAATATCTACAGATGGCAGACTTGGTTTTGTTGCTGGCATTCCAGTCCCCCAGCTGCTCCAGCTTTTTGCACTTGAACTTACCTCTATCCAGTTTTAAGAAGGACCGACGTCACAGATTTGGTAGACTCTCCATACGATGACAGACATTAAAAGAAGATGTATCAGAATGAATGTTTTCACCTTATGAAACAACCCAAACTTGGATCTGCTGAGGTTAGCTTTGTAAAAGGCTTGTGGTGATCAGTTCTTTGCTTTGCAATAACTATCTTGGAGTGAGTACAAAAACAAAGAGAGACTGGTACAGCAAATGTAGGCACATACTTTTTGCTTTGAGTGGATCTTAATTCATTTTATATGAAGTGATTAAAATGTTGTAATGTCCGTTTTGGCTTTTAGAAAAATCAGGTAGGTCTCTGAAATAGAGCTCTTCATGTATATTCTGATTACTACTATCTTTTTGCAATTCTTAAAAACTTTCACGGCATGTTTCATGTTTGAATATTGAATAAAATAATGGAGATGGTCCCTGTGCAGTACTCGGTGGCCAATGCTTCGACGCTAACTTTCCCCGTACGACAAAAAATGTCAATTTTCACGCACCAAAGTGAGTCTGCAGTTGTGTCTATTTTTATAGCACATATGTTGGTGCTTAGGAAATAAATTGGGAATTACGGTAATGCTGACAGAAGTGAGTATCTGAATCTGGCATCTCTCCTGATTGAGCAATGACTTGACACAATCTTGACACGCATTGAACTGCTGGACCCGATACACAATCATGCTCATTCTTGTTCTGGTTTTCCGCATAAACAAACACCTCGTGTTGCACAGTTGCACAAACACAATCGCTGGTTTTGGCTTGGCTTGTGCTGACTTCACTTGGCCTGGCCTGGCTCGGCTTGAATTGGCCAGTGCCCGCATTCCTGCGTGGCGCGCTGCATTTCTCCCACGTGCTTTTCGGCATGCATTGAACAATCACAAAAGCGATAAGAAGGCTTTTTATGTTTTCTATTTCCCCCTTCATGTGGCTCGATAGCTAATAAATTCCGTCCCATACCCCCACTTTTTTTCCCACCCGATCACCTGCATTGAGCCGGAGGGATGGCTTTCTCCAGACTGGCGCGTCTCGTGGCTGAACTCAATTCCGAATGTTCCTGGTTCCAGTGCTCTCTGCCCTATTAGCACCTGGTGACAAAGCTGCACCTGGCAGCTTTGTCACCAGATGCAATTAATTTTCCCGGATCGTTTAAGGGAATACTGATGTGAAAATTGAGATATATACCTCTCACATTCAGAAACAAGTGAAACATGATCAACAAAGTCTGATATAACGACAATCACACGTTTGTATTTGGACGGACGACTATATTTTTCAAACGGTCGATTCTAGCAAGCGCTTGGAAGAGCAGCCATTGGATAGCATGATGCGTCCCCAGAGATCTGGCGCCTCCAGTACGTTTGTGGCGTATTGTTTAACTTACGAATGAGGCTAACGGGAGGTTGGCGTGGTTGTGAGGTTCGTCACTTAGTGACGTCAACGCGTTGCAACCTGGCCGTTTGAGACCCCCAATGGCTGGTTCGACAATGCCAGCGGAGGCGGAAACTGACTCTCACCTCCACTTCGAACTCCCCTCTCCCCACAGGGGTTGATTAGCAGTCATGAAAGTGCTGCGCCAAATTGCGCCATCGACGAACATCTGCTACACCTTGTGCCAAAGTGACATTTTCGCCAAGAATTGCACTGCACTGGCGCCAAGGTTTGCTTGGACAAATAAAAAATTAAATGTATCTTATTATTGGTCGGTCCTAATATTCAGAGAAGTAGAACGAAAATGGTACAAATATGTATTTCACAGTCTCTCCACCTACCATATGAGTAGTTTCTTTCATCTTAGGCTAGAGCACAGTTGAGGGCTTAGACATGTAGTCACAAACACACACACTGAAAGCGTGAGTCTAGGGAAATTCACATTACTTGGTTGGTTTAGCCAATGAAAGAGCACATACGGATAGATGACGAATATCACTATGTCAAGCTTTTGATGCTGCTTGAATGGTCTAATGGACTCGTAGTGTCACGTGTGCTTTGATTTAAGGTGAAACGAGCACAGATATTGTTCTTCGATCATGTTGGCCCCGTCATCGTCCGAATGTCCAGACGATGTTTGCGGTGTCGGGAGCTAAAAATCGCGAGAGAAATTTACAAAATAGTGGGGTGCCGGCTATTGTAATAAGACAGACCGAGGG